CAGAGCAATCTGCTGGTTTAATTAACCCACATGACAGAGGGCATGAATTTTTTTTTTCTCTCAGGTTATTAAACACAAAAATATCCAAACTCCTGAGCTGTGGAACAGGAATGATTAAAATCCCATTGCTCCAAGATTGTTTCCTCCACATCCACAGAAATTCCCAACACAAACATGTCCTGTGGAGGAGTCTTGAGTTCCTCAAGTTCACGGGGAAAGCTTCAATGACCTTCATAATCTGAAAGCATCTCGTAATCAAAAGTGATTTCATTAAACCAGTGGCAATCTGTTGGCAGCCTGAGAGCCCAGACAGGGAAACACCGATTAAAACAAAGCTGGCAAAACACATTAAAAATTAATTGACTTCTTGATTTTTATCAAAATTTAAAAAAGGCTAAATCCTACACCCAATGATACAGCCCCTGAATGGCAGCAATTAAAGTTCCTCCTTCCAATTACAGCTTTTTACAGCATTTTAATCAATTTTTGTACAGCAAATAAGTGTAGAGTTTAACCCTAAATCGAATCAGCAGGATGTTGTAGGGTGAAAATCATAATCCTGGAGCATGACATGCAAGAATGAAACTTAGATAAACTAAACAAAATGACAGGAAAGTTCCTGTAGATCATTTTGGACTTGTATTTTAGGCCACTGGAGGGGAATTCATAAACAGATCTGGGACTTGCCTATCAACATGACCTCACCTATGCAAATATTTATTCAAACATTTGGGCACATTGCAGGGGATTTTAGATTAGAGACCAAAGGAAATTCCTATAAAAGGAAAACCGTGCCAGAAGTTTCTCTTTAAAACTGCAAACCCTCAAGGACCTCACCTTAAAACTGGGCTGGAACAACCAGAGAAACTCCCGAGCTGTTGTTTGATTTATTCCTACCTTTTATAAAATCCCAAGCCATTAATCCTGAACGGCCTTGACTCAAAAGCCCGATAGATAAATTTTCATTGCTGAGATCACTTAAGTAGTTCAGTATCACAGGGATGGGACTGGAATTAGAATTAGCAGATTAAAAAACAAACCAAAAATGCACTAAAATTTTAAAATTGCCAGTTTTCTTTCAGCACAGCACAAACACCTTGTGCTGCGAGGAGCAGAGAGCTGGATTTGAATGCACAGCAGGTTTGTTTAACCACAGCTGGCACAGTGTCCTCTCCCCCAGGCCTCACCTCAGCATTCCCATTTCCAGACCCTACACCAGGCTCCTCAGGACTCTCCACCATTATCTACTGACATTTCCCTTTTTTTAATATTTTTTTGTGTCTTTCTAAGTTCATCAGTAAGCAGAGACTTCTGCCAGCACTCGGTGCTGCTGATTTCAAGGTCCTGAGCCCCACCATTCCCTCCTTCCCCATTCCAGCTCCCCGGCCTTTCCCTACACTGGGAACAAAAAATAAGAATAAAAAGGTGCATTTTACATCCTAAAACACTGGCTCAGCAACTCCAGAACCCAATTATTCCGTGCAAAATAAAGCTCTTGCCCACAACTACACATCATGAGGGACAAGTCCTGCCACGTCCCCGTTCAGGAGGTGGAGGGAAATAAAAAGAGACATTTTTTATGAGACTGTTACCGAGCCTTAATTTCCCACATCCGTTTAGGACTGCAAACAAGCCCAGGCAGGGGAAGCTACTATCTATTACCATAATTATTTTTAAAACCTTCACCCCACAGGGTTAGGAAAAAAACGGGTGATTTACAGCGGAGCCATAACTATAAAACTGCAAATGGGAGCTGAGCTACTTTGCCCTTGTCTAATGCTGAGATCTCATTAAACTGCGTGCTTAAACCTTAAATATTTGAGAGTAAATGGTAGTTAAAATAGGGAAATCATTCTCATTAAGCAGCCAGCCTTTCCTCTGCTCAGCTTCCCAGCTCATCATTTGTTATTTGGTCGTTTGTGGAGTTTGACACTGCTCCATCTTCCAGCCTGGACAGCCCCAAAATCCATAAATAAAGGAAAAAGGGCAAGGAAAAAAAAAAGCACTCAAGCCATTTTTGCACCTTAAAAAGAAGCTGATGAGAGAACTGAAATTTTTTGTTTTCTAAGTTCAATCACCTTGCAGGGTGGTCCTTTGGCCAAAGTCATTCAGTGAGATAACAGCCAGCAACTTTTCTTTGTTCCTTCTAAATCTACTTCTTTCACCTCTACCTTCTCTGCATTATTATTATTATCATAATTATCATTATATCTCCAAGAAACTAACATTTATTAAAAGATTGCACTACACACCCCACATCCAATTTTCTCTCTGAAACATTCTTGCTTTTCAGAAGTTACTGCAGCAAACCAGAGCATGAATAATTATTTTTGCTTACTCCTTTCTCCTCGAGCCACCCACAAAATCCAAAGCAAAGGCTGCCAACCTATCCGGGCTAAAACTGGAAGCTGGAAGAGGAAATGACATAAGAGAAAAGCAGAATTTATGCAAAATGTTGGCGACATGAAAGCAGAACTCAGAAATCCTCATAAATTAGCAGTGCACAGTAATTGAAGCTGCTTGAATCATGCTCCTCCATCCTTCCACTTCAATGGGACATGGCAGGAAGTAATTAATGGAGACAGGCTCCCTGGCATATAGCTGGAAATAAATCATCTGGCATCTCATTTCTGCTATTGGCTGTTTGGAAAAACAAATTTTTCCCCATATAGAACAGTTTGTTTCACACGTAACCCCAGGGATCAGCTGTTCTTTATTCTTTAAATACACATAAAGAAATGTAATGGGAGCCCATAAGGAAAATTTAACCTTCACCAGGGCTTTGCTATGTGAGTAGATAAGGTGTTTCACAGAGTATTTTATGTTTTATGAAAAAGTAAAATAAATTAAGACATACAACCTCCCCATTCAAATAGAGACTTAAAATGTAGGGATTAAATAAGAATGTGAATTTTTATTTCTTGTCCCTCGTTTTCTACTCAAAATTACAAAACCCCCTTAGAATAAAACCTTTTCTTCATTATTTCTTTTTTTGCTGTATGCATACCACACAGTTCATGCTATTCTGAACAGTTTTACCAAAAACTTAAAGCTTGAAACTAATTAGGTCCTCAACTTATTTTTGCAGGAGTAAAGGCCACGAAGAACACTTGGGATTCCATTATGAATAACAGATGCCAGATGGATACATTCATAAAGCACTAAATTTAGAAAGATTTGTGGAGAGTTCTGCTGAACCTTTCAAAATTAAAAACCTCCCTGTACTTTGCCACTGAATCCGCCAGAGCAAGTTCTGAGGAAGCAGAACACAAAAGGCCAACGAGTTTTCCACGGATCCAACATGAATGCATCCCATGGATGGAATTTCAAGATGCACAACAAAGCAGGCAATATCTGTGGGGCACATCGGCTAAATGCCCCTGTTCCCTGCGTTGGCTGGGGGTTATTTAATACCCTCAGCTTGCAGCCTCGTGCAGGGCAAGCTACAAAATTAATGAAAGAAATCAGATCCCCCTTTCACACTGGATCCCACAAGCTCAGAATGCTCTGTTTAAAAACACCACTCAGATACTTCCCCGATTGTTTGGGCTGCTCGGTTCCCGCAAGGAAACTCGGTTTACACAAAGGCACCTTCCTGGGGACAAAGAGCCCCAGATGTCCCCAGTGAACTGCTCAGATCCTCCAGGAAAAGCTGGGAACCGCTTTGGGACACATCGACATTTCCACCTGTGTTCCTCCAATGCCCAGGGACAGCGAACTGGCCAAAGGATGCCAGGAGGAGCTGGCACAGCTGTGCCCCAACTGAAACCGGACAAAAACCCCAAAACGGGGCTCAGGCACCACCAGCATTTTCAAGAAGCCGACAAATCTCAATATCCCAAGAGTTTGCGTTCATTTAAACGGGACAAAACACCGTGAGGAGAGCCCGAGTCCCTTCCCAACGCTGGCAGAGGTTTCCCAATCCTGAGCCCACGGCCTGGATTTTCCAGGCAGCTCTTCCAGGTTTAGCAGGGCAGCAGCTTCCACCCCACAAATGTCTGGGCACTGCCAGAGCTTTTCTAGGAAGGATTTTGACTCTTGGATCCAGGGGAGCAGTCGGAGGGACCCCCAGGCTCTCACACAGCAAATCCCCAACATTTCTCTCCATCATCCCATCAGGTTCTCTCGCTCCCAGCCAAAACCCTGCCAGGGCCGATTTGCCACCCAAGGACAAATTCCCCATCCTTTTCCCCAGTTACGAAACGCGTGCCTTGTGCCACACCAAAAGCTGCGTGGCAGCACCACATCCTAAAGGCAGAGGAAGCTGCAGCTCCAACATTTGTCATCCGCAATCCACGGAACATCCCGGCGAGCTGGAATCATCAGCCAGCACAGCCTGGAGGAGCCCAGGCTGCCCCAAAACCCGAGTGCCACAAAGCCAGCCGGGCTTGGCTTTCCACTGGGGAAGGGACAGCGCACTCGTCATGACATCGACTCCACACAATTCCCAAACCGCGATGCTCGGCTCGCTCACTGGAGAGGGAATTGCTGAAAGCACATTTTACACACTTCAGGCTCCTTCAGCACCGCTCCTGTTTAACCTCTGCCCGTGAGCCGGGCTCTGGCCGGGGGAGAAGCCAGCCCGCTGCCAAAATCACATCACACCACACTTGGCTGTAACAAAAGATGACTCCGGGGAGTTTGTGCTCATCATCGTTATTCCACGCACGTCAGAGCCACCTCCAGCAGCTTTTCCTTCAATTAAACCTTCACTACTGCAAAGGGCGAGGGGGGTACAGACACATTTATGCCGTGCTGAGGGCGGAAGGGGTAACGAGGGGTAAAGGGGAGGGAGGATTACACAGCCCTTTTTTTAGAGACATCCACCCCCTCCCAAAAGCACACAAATCCCCCTCCCCACAATGCACAAGATAACCACACAAACCTGGTGGGTGAGAGCACATCCACGCCTTGCCCCGGACCATCCTCCCTCCCGCACCCCCTTTTTTTTTTTGGCGCTGTTGTATTATTTTTATTTTTTTTTCCAGCTGAGCACTTGCCTCTCCTCCGTGCCCATCAAATATCCCGAAGATGGAGGGGTGAGTCTTGTTCACCAGGTCAGTGATTACTTCGAACCTGTCCTCCATGTGATCCCTCCGGCCTTGGATGGAGTAGACAGCCACGTTGTGGCTCTTGAACTCCCAGGTCTTGGAGAACTCAGCGTCCAGCACGTCTAAACCCCCGAGCCTGTCATTCTGCATGATCTCGGCCACCTTGCCCTTCACCATCTTCACCGCATCCCTGCTGGACTTAACAATGGTTTTCACCTCATCCGTGTGGAAGAAATAACTCCACAGGGCCAGGCTGATGCACAGCAAGAACAGGGTCTCCGGTCTGAGCAAGAAGTAACGCATGATCCGACCCAGCAGAGACAGCAAAGTCATTGTATCCTCTATCATTTATTATCGCGACCGTGTCTCCCCACAGCATGCAGCGGGGCGGCTCCGAGCCCGGGGCCGCTCGCTCAGTGCATGCTCGGCCGGCCGGGCAGCGCCGAGCCCCGCGCTCCGCTCCGCTCCCCGCGGCTCCGCTGCTCCCGGGCGGCCGCGCCCCGGCCCCGCGGCGCCCCGTCCCTGCCGCGGGGGCGCGGGCCCGCCGATGGCTGCGCCGAGCCCTCCGCCGCCGGATGCCTCCTGAACGCCGCCGGCCGCCGCGCTTCGGCCCGGGAGGTGGCTGGCACGGCAGCCCGCGGTACCTGCGTCCCGTGTCCCCCGCGCCCGGAGCCGGCCCGCCCTCCTTCCACCCGGGCGGAGCGTCCCGGCCGCCGCCCCCGCCCCGCCGCGGAACTACAAATCCCGGCAGCCCCCGCGAGAGCGCGCAGACGCGGGGGGAGCGCGGGGCGTGCTGGGAGTTGTAGTCCGGGAGCGGTCAGGGAAGGAGGCAGGAAAAGGGAAAAAATTGTTTAATCCAAGTATGTCCCGTCCCTGGAAGTGTCCAAAGCCCAGTCGGACTTGGAGCAGCCTGGGGTAGTGGAAAGTGTCTCTGCCCATAGGATGCGATGCCACTTAAAGTCCCTTTCCAGCACAAACCGTTCTGGGATTCTGCCAAAGGATGAGCTTCACTCTCAGGTGTTCCCCAATTCCCTTCACAAGCTCGCAGTCAAAACGCAAATTTCAAAGCAGGATTTTGTCAATTACTAAACCGAGAGTAGAGCCTGCCAAGGTAGCATTTTGTTAGAAAAAAACAAACCCCAGAACATCTATCATCTTTCTCTGACCCTTTTCTTTAAATTGCCATTTTCCTGCAACAGACAAGCCTTGGAAACCACCACAAGCTGTGAATGTGTGAGCAGAAGTTTGCTGGAATATAAACAATAATATTATTGATATTTATGTCAATATTATATCTATTTAATTAGATTTTTTTATATCAATTTAATCAGACTTTTAAAATTCTATTAATTTTATATTAAAGGAAAGATAAAATAAATGCAAAATAAGGATGCTGCTCCCTCCCGCCAACCAATTCAGTATTTATTTGTCATTTTACTGCAGCATAAACGTGGAACTGTGATTCCTGTGGAAGCTGCGTCTCACTGTTGGCAATTTGTGTCCAGGCCCTGGAATTGTGAAGGGAATAATTCCAGACCCAGAGGTCACAAATCCCTTCCAGCCCCTCCTTCAGCGCTGGTGCTCCCCAGCTTTCCCCAAAATCCTGAGCAGATTCAGCAGAGGATGCTACACACGGATGAGATTTCCTTTAATAATCCCATGTATTTTATCCAGCGGGAGAGGCCGAGCTGGCTCCAGGAGCGGCTGGAATTTCCCCTTGGGAGGGTTTGGAAGAGCAGGAAAGGCCTTGTCCCGCTGGAAAACTGGGATGGGGAAACCACAGGAGGTGGGATGGAGACTCCCAGCCCTTGGGATGGAGCTGCCCACGGTTAAATGGGAATTAACAACAATTCTGCGCCACCTCAGTGCAAAATTCAGAGAATATTGAGCCAGCTCGAGCCAAAAAATCCAATTCCAGGGATCATTCTGCACTCCAGCAGATCTTCCCAGGGGAGAAGCAGAACTCCAGCATCCATGGATTCTTTGAAACCCTGGAAATCAGCAATAAAAACCTCACCAATATTCGGGATATCAGCCGCTATTTAATTTTAGTTGTGCTGAGGGGAGCGACCTCAAGCTTTCGGTCACTTGTGGAAGGAATGAAAAGTGATTTTTGAGCCGGGTTTGTGAATAAACTGCAGAATTATCCACTTGGAAAACTGGGAAAAAGCTTTCCTTGCTCAACAGCTCCTCCTCCTGCTCGCCCATAGCAGGAAACCATCAGGGCATCGTTTGGTTTTTATATTTTGGCTACAGAAAACAAATTATCGGATGCTGCAAATGTGAGTTCATTGTCTGTTCAGCGCTCTAATACACAGGAATTGTGGATTATAAACAGAATAAACTTGGGAATTATTTTGGCTTCAAGAGGAAAAAAACCCAATGTTCCGCTTTTCTAGGCAATTTTTGTGAAAAAACTCTTTAATTTCCAGTAGTTGCAAACTGAATTTACCATTATTTCACCCTGGGGATGAGCAGTGAGGACGCTGATGGATTTAGCTTTACTGGACAAAATCAGTGCAAGAAACATTTAATTAAATGGGAATTTCCTCATAAAAATACTCCCAGAATCTGTAGGATATCTGTTCTATAATACTCTCCGGGATGCTAAAATTTGGAGGATGTTTCTGTTGCTGTTTGCTCAATTCTGCTGCCCAGTTAAAGTTTTTCTCAGGATTTTCATCTTCAAATACTTTTATTGGCATAAATCAGATGTGCACAACAATGTGACTCACTGAAGATTAATCCCGGAAAATATTAAAGCAAAATATTCCCCCAAACCTGCGGATTCACCTCCCTTTTCTTCTGCTGAGATATAAAATCAGAATAGAAAAATCAGTATCAATAATTACAGCTGTAAAAGTGGAGTTTTTCGTGTCAGGACTCCAATGCAGTAAAATCATCTTGTGCTTTTCTTTCCTGATATTTTAAAATGTTAATTTTAGGATATTCAGGGTGACACAGGCCCAGCTCTGCATTGGAATAATTCGGTTATTAAGTATATAAATAATATAAATAATATAAATATATGCATAGAAATAAAATTATAAATATATATTATAAAAATAAAATAAATACACATATAAATATGAACATGGACATGAATATAAATATATAAATATAAATTTAAATATAAATATAAATAAGATAAAATATATAATATCAAATTTATAAACTTTTATAAAATTATAAAAATTATACAAATTAATGTAAATATAAATTTTTAAATAATTTAAATAATATCAATAAATAATTATTTAAATTATTTAAATTATTTATTATATTTAAATTATTATTTAAATTGTGATTTTAATGATTGTATTATTATTTAAATAATATAAATAAAATCAGAACCTGGTTTGTACATTAGTTTGGATAACAGTAAATAAGGTTGAGTTGTCCTGCCAGAGTTTTCATCTCAGTTGATATAAATGACATTTCCTGATATTATTGCCAGGATTTTATCTGGCAGCAAATGCCAAGAATTGCAGGGAAATTTTGCCTCCCCCTGCTAAAGCCCTGAGAAATCCCACCACAGCAATTCTGTTTTGCAGCTCCCCTGAAGAGGAACATTTGCAGATGCAAACAGCAATTTTCCACCCAAGTTGCTCCTTTCTCTTTTCCAGGATTCTCAATCCCAGGACATCTTCATGTGTAAAATCTGATTTTCCTTTATATCCTGTGACACCCCGAGTGACCTCGGGGTCAGTGGGAAGGGGAGGCACAGGGAGATTTCTGACTGAGGCTTTAACAGCTTTTATTTAAACACAGAATTCTGCTGTGGAATGGTGTGCACCAAAACACAGCAGGGGAATTATTATATTATTTATATTTTTATATTATATTATATTATTATATGTAAATTAGAAATATGAGGACATCCTGGTTAAATACCTGCAGGTGCCCGGTGTGGAAATCCCACACCTGCCTTACTCAGGGAATATAATTCCTGATTATAAAGATAGAATTTGGTGTAAATGATACCTGAAATGAACATTATTTTAAGGAAACAAAATCCCATTTCCCAAATAAACTATGGGACATTGTTTAATAACAATTACATCTTCTCATTTTGAATATCAGAGCCAAACTACCTGGTGATACATTGAGGAAGGATGCCAATATTCGTTTCATGGAAAAGTTTAACCAAGGATGTATTTCAGAAGGAAATTCTGGGGTTTTTCAACTCACAGAGCCTTGATTCTAGAATTAAATTCTGGAATTACCAGAATTCTGGAATTACCACAAAAATTTGGCTGCTGAAGTCACTGGGAGTCTTTGCTTGGTGGCAGCACAAGCCCTAAAATATTGATTTGGAGCCCACCTCTCCAGGGCATGGCATATTTTGGGAGGCAGAGAGAAAATCTCCTTTATTCCAAATTTTCCCTGCCATTTTCCAGAAGTGAACTCACTGGGAACCGGGAAGTGCCCGGGATGCCACCAGAACACGCAGCAGATAAAGCTGAAAATGCTCCTGTGAATTGAGCTTTGATTCCAGCTGCAGAGTGCAGACATTTGGGAATGGGTGTCAATTATTCCTCACAAGTTCCCTGCTTTTCCAGAGAGCTCCAGGACACGGAAAATAGAAAGGAAAATAGAAATAGAAGCTCAGCAATCTGGAATCACTTTGCAAACTGGCGGCGTTCTCATGAAACCTTCCTGGGGTCTGGGCACAAATTGATAAAAAGCAGCAACAGAGCAATCTTAATTTTCTTCTTCATTAATTTTTGCTCTGTTTAGCAGCTGTTTCGTGTCTGTGGTGCAGACTGTTTAATTTGCATTAAGCAAGAGGCTGCAAAATTGATTTATACATTTGAATGCCTCACATTTTCACTCTGAGGCACTTTTGGATGCAGAACATGACAGGTTTAAATTGAGGATGAAGTTCTTAGGCCAGGCTTGTCCCAGAGCTGAGGTGAGAGGAGAGCTGAGGTTACAGGAGCCTTTTTTGGTGGCCTCTCTGAGACTGAAATTAGCTGTGCCCTCAGCTGCCTGCAGAGTGTAAAATCCAGATTTCACTCGCTGCCTTGGCTATTCCAGAGGTGCATTCCAGCCTTGATGCCTTCCCTTGGCCAAATTCTTAATAAATCCCAAAAAGTGGAACGTTCTGGGGCAGGATTGGGATAATCCAGCTGATTTGGGTTTCCTTGGGCAAGGGAACATGACTCAGATCCAAAGGCTCCTTTCTTTAGCACCAGCTTTTGGTGATGGCGTTAAGGAAATATTCGAATAAGGGCGGTGAAAGGATTTTTCTGGTGGAGGATTTATTAAGAATTGGTGTTTGTATTGAAGTTTGATCCAACAAGGGCTGTCAATAAGTAAGAAATAAATAAAGATGAAGCATTCCCACCTCTGGGGCTGGAATGGGAGATGTTTTTTGGAAGTGATGGGAAAAGAAAGAGGATTTAATTAGCTGGCACAGAAAACCAAAGGGGTCCACTGGATG